AGCTCCTAAAGGTTTGTAAACACCTAGCGCCACACCAAGAGATTATCTCGCCTCCTGAAACCGCGAACCAATGGGAAGACGGCACCTCCAGGTGGCAATGACATCTACTAACTATGATGACAATGCATCAAGATTTTCTCGGGAAAAGTATCGCATAGTAGTCACGTTTTTTTAACTCGCTCTGTTGAACGTGGAGTAATGGGCAAAATTGGCAAAGAAAATACCGGCGGCAAAAGAGGTAAAGCTGGAGAATGGCAGATCGCAAGTTTTAAGAACAACATAAAACAAGATAAGACACTACCAGATAAATTAAGTTTCACGAAGGAATCATGCCTAATTACAAACAAGGATGATGACTTTTATTATTTCTGAACAATTTATTCAATTTATTTAATTCAACTTATCTATTTATCCTTTAGTTACTGATAATAGATTACAATGGAGATAGTAATTTTTACATACTCTTAATCTCTTATATACCTCACACCTGTATTTATCCTAGTTAATGTAATTAGACCTTAATGTTTTAGATAGGCAGGCCCACATCAGGCATTGGCTGACTTTTACCAACCTGCATTAACAAATAAAAAAAAAGAAATAAAAAAAAATAATAATAATAAAAAAAAAAGCTAACATTCAGATGGGCTATGTATACCCGTTAAATCTGCCTCTAAGAAAGAACAAACTTAAGCCATCGGAATAACCCTCTATCTCTGTTGGATCTAAGGTCGATACCTTCACATAAAGAATCTGGTATCCCTCTCCCGCAAAAGTTTTAGTATTAGAGAGGAGTCCCTGGGCAAAGAAAAAGAAAATACAGGCCCAAAGAGGAGAGAAATGACATCATTTTTTCAGGAAAAAAAAACCAGTCCTGCAACTCCTCTCCACGCTGACATCCAAATTACGAACAAAGAAGTCGCCATCAAATCTGTATTTGTCGTACATAAGGTTAAAAACTAAGTTTCCTTTCAATAAGTAGCACCGGTCATGATACAGAACATAGGCAATCGCCTCGAATCGTAAGAAATCATGAATAAACCTACCCGAGGGAACTCATTTCAACGATAAGGGTATTACTTAAGTTGTCTGTCGATTAGCTGTTTTGCTCTTCAGCAGCTTCTTCAGCTTTACCTTTTTCGCCGCGGGTTTTTTCTTTGCCAATTTTGCACATTACTCAACGTTCAACAGAGCGAGATAAAAAAACGTGACTGATATGCAATACTTTTCCCGGGAAAATCTTGATGCATTGTCGTTGACGCCTGGAGGTCCCGTCTTCCTATTGGTTCGCGGTTTCAGGCCAGATAAATCTCTTGGTGTGGCGCCAGTAGTTTACAAACCTTAAGGAGCTAAAATCTGGCATTTGATTTTGATAGGAATACATCCCCTTTGAGCGAATTTATGGGATATGTAGATTTGACCGATTTTCGTGAAATTTCGCCAAAACATTCCCGGGATAATGAGGAACGAAAGTGTGTTAGGAAATTTTGATATTTGAAAAARATTTTTTCWCGTGGTGTCCATTTACGCAACGCGTCTCACATTTTATACGCTACTCTAACTTTAGATGCGGATATCCAGACAACCAATCAGAATATCGGAAAAGCCTGACACCCTTTTGTTGATTGATGCCTTGTGAATAAGACTGTGCAGCCATTTTGCTCGTGCAGCGAGATCCGATAGCCGATAAATTGAAATAGAAGGACCCTTGGTCGTTTCACGCCTTACCGGCTCCTGATACTCCCTAAATAAAAAAAAATCGTCTAAGTTATATCTTTATCGTAAATTGCATGTATCAAGCTTTATGTATAGTTTGTTAGGGTTTTCTTCAAACTAGCGCGCGTACGAATTTTTTCCCCGAAGGACACCCACGAAGGGGAAAAGTAACCTTAAAAGAAGCAGATATATTCTTCTGGACAATCCGTTTCAGTTTGTTTTATATTGTTCTTGTCCTTGTTCTTAATTTTTTTGTAACAGGTTCTCCAGTTCGGTATACTAGGAACACAGGGAAATGATCTTGTTTAAAAATGTGTTGAATGGTATTTTAATTCTTTCATTCCCAAGATCTCTTAAGTATTTCTCCTCACTGTCTCCCATACATTCTTTTGATGTTAGTTTGGAGAATACGGAATTGGATCAACTTATGATCCCCCAATTGATCTTTTCTAATTATTCCCATTACTTGCATCCATAATGTTAGGACAAATTCTGTTTTGGTCGCTTGTGGGAGTGCAAGGGTTGATGGGATTACTCGAGGTACTCCACAGGTATCTAATGTACAGAGATGTACTGACAACAATAAAAAAGGCCAAAATCACTTTTGTACCTTTATGGCGCGAAGAGATATGACTGCAACTTACTTTTTTTTAATCATACTCAGATCTAGGTATACGTAAGAATTATTATTACATGATAAATAACCTGGAAATCCATTATTTGCATACATCGAGGTTTACTTTCTTTGAGCTCTCAATCTTCAGTCGAGGGGCACTGTCCCCGCCCTCATGTCGCTAACATTGCATAACAATTGTTACAATTTTCAATCTTGTGATCTTTTCACAAATCCTCGTATTAGAATTGTGCTTGGTGAAATAATATGTTTTAGAACTTTTTTTGTACAGCTCCGGCCTATTTTGAGGAGCTTATTGACTGGAGCAATTCACCATTTAACCAGACAGTGTATCTGAGAAATTTTCTCTGAGGGAGCCCAATCAAATGCTAAACTGAGAGATTTTAATAAGAGAACATTTAGAAATACATTTGATAATAAATGTTAGAGAGATTTTAGCCTGTGCTGGAAAAAATTAAGGCAAGTCACAAATTAATTATGGACACAATTGAAACTGTAAAAATTGTAAAGAGGTTTGCTAGTGCCAACAAACAATGCCAAAGGGAAATTTGGAATATTTAGAGATATGTGCCTGGGGGGGGGGGGGTTTAAAGATAAGACCCACCCCTCTACCCTTGTGTTTCAAAACACTCTGCCACTTCTGTCATTAACCAGCAATTTATTTGACTACTGGGTATTTAAGCCTTAAAACCCTAAGACCACACAACTCAAATGTACACTACTTTTTAAACATACCTTGTAAATCTTGCTCAGCTTTTATAAACCTTTTTATCCTAGCTGTTTGCTTATGAAAGCGAACTCTTAACCTTAAAGCTCTCTCTATATCAAAATAAAAATTATAAGCATTCCACTGGAAAGACTTGACAACTCTACTTCAAATTCACCATCCCACCAAGGCAAGGTTCCCCACCCCTGAGAAGGCCTTCATCAAATTCCTTACTTCCTACACACTGAGAAAACAGTCAAATGCCTGTTGGTTGCTTGGAGTGGGGATGTTGACTGGAGGCCTAATAATTTGAGCATTACTGTAACTATGTTTTAAGAAACAGTTCACACAGAGGGATGTGAATATTTAGACATAAAACAGAAGCATCAAATCCAAGAATGCCCAGGGACACAAGGAAAAATGTATCCAAAGACATCCTTGGGAACATTTGAGTTCCAGCTAATTGACAAGCAAAGAAGCTGCTGTACACATTTTGATCAGGGGGTTTGTTTTGTAGATCAACTGTGCAGTGAAGGAAGTGATCAAGGACAGCCTGCATTTAACTATCGATAACTCAATTTCTTGTTCTGAGTTACAAGTTACAAATTTACTGGGCGCACTGAAACAGCAATGAAAATTGAACCATAATTTAACCAGTACATAATACTACTCATATTTGAAAACACCTGAAATGGGTCTTGACTAATACCTAATAACTAATAAGACATTATTTTGGAACTCCTTGAAGAAAATCATGCTACATTAGTCTGAAATTATCCCCTTCAGAATTATAAGAATAATAATAATAATAATTTATTTCTTATAGAGCGCTATTTACAGTGACAGATCAACAGCACTTTACACTTAATGTATAAACCCACCCATCCC